GCTCTGCGCGGATAAAATTCAATTCATCGTCATCCATCAATTGTCCATCATATTGTGCAAGAAAGTCATCAGGTCTTCTGTATATTTCAGTCACAGCAAGATCTGTTGGATCATCTGATGGTCTAACTCGATCAACATTTTCTGATGGGATATACCGCTCGCCTGAAAAATAGGAATCTTCCTCCACAAAAGATTGTTCATCTTCTTCTCTGCTTTTATTTCTTTGAGGATCTGGGGCACTCTCATGTCCTGCTCCCTTCTCATTATCACTAGGGTAATCAATTTCATGAGCCAAAAACCAAGTCTCGTCTTCAATAGGTTGTCGAGTGTAGCCTACATCATCCTCATCGTCATATTCATCAGAATCCCAATATTCATTTGGATAGTCAACCGAGTCACTAATTCCATCACCGATAGTTGCAAAACCAGAAACAAGATCAGAAGTGTCTTCAGAAATACCCTGACTTACAGAGAGCCAGCTACCACCAGTTGGCCGTTTACCCAACTGATTTGTCTCTTGTCCCACAGGAACATCCAGAAATGACCCTATATGATAGGGCTTGTCTGAATTTGCTATTCTTGAGTCTATTCCATCTCGTTCAAACTTTTCCACCCAATTGATATTGAATGAATTGTCTTCTGACTTGAGCCTGACAGGTGGTAGCCTGGGTAGCTCTTCCTTTTGGTTCCCAGTGGATGCAAAGGGGAAGTCAAAACAACTGAGATCCTTTGGTTCACTTCCCAGTGTCCTCCCTAAGTATGAAGCTCTTTCTATCTCATCACCTTGTTCTTTAACAGCTGTCTTAATATCACTAATTACTGGTTGTCTTTTTCCTTCTTTCTTGTCACCTACCACAGTATTAAGATCATAAGTTGACGTGTCTCCTTTTGAGAGAGGAAAAACAGTTTTGACCATGCAATCTTTGGATCTGGGTTTCTTTTGTGACTGATCAACCTCCTTGACTTCACTGTGTTGACTCTTCTCCTGCTTTGTTTCCAGAGTTGTTTTACTAGTACTTCCAGGCCATGTTCTGATCTCTTTTGAGAAACCGCTGCCATCTTCACGGCACAAGTCTGTATCCTTACCACTGTCATGGCCATCACTTGCATTTGGCATTGCCTTTCCCGAAACCGGAAACCCCATAAATGTGTTCCCAACAAGGCTCCCCCCATCACTCTGGTGAAAAATAAGAGGACTAGGGTTAGGATTGAATTTTTGCAAGTGCAATTCATTTGTTTTGTTTTGCTCCCCGGCATTAACGATGTTCTTCAACTTGCAGTCTTGCCCATTGGCCATAAGCTCCTTCGAGGTACCTCTACTGCTCCTTGAACTGATCTCCTTATCAATCAAACCACTACTCCTACCATTTGTTCCCATACTCTCTCCTCCAGCCTTCCACCCATTGGATTCTTCCAAAGGCTGGTTGAACCCATTATCCTCAAGCGCATGCTTCTGAAGAACTCCAATCACGTCAGGACGACTGCTCAGCTCACTTAGCAATGCAGATTCGGCCCGAGTAAACTTATTCCTTCTTAGAAACTCCAGTATCACATCCACCGAGCTCGTGTCTGCCATTTATTATGCAAAAGAGAGCGCTTTGACAACCACAACAGAAACCTACAACAATCAGTACTTGGCTAAACCTGAAAATTTAACCAGGAAAAAGAAATTAACATTAGAGCACAAAATCTAATTGACGAGTAGTAGCATATGCAGAGTATAGGGCAAAATCTTGGGAACCCAACTGGGAATAAAAAAAGATTAAATCTTTCGTTGAAATTAACCCCCAAGAAATCTACACAATCAATAAGCATAACCCTAGATCTCCACATTCTTCCAAACCCTAGGAGACGATACAAACGACATGAAAGGGTAGGGAAATTCAAGAAAGGATAGAAAGAACAGTGTAAATTAAATGAGATTTCACAGATGGAAACAAAATCATGAAAGCGAAGAGAAGGAGCTCGAGACTGGGAAAATGGCAACTCACAGATCGAAAAATGGAGGGATTTGACATCTCCGAAGCCAAACAGCCCCTAATTCGCACCATCGCCAGAGCAGTAAAACGCAGCTCCCAAATTTAAGAGATGAGAAGGACTCACCCAAACGCGACCTTAGCTTCGGACAGGGCAAATGGGAGCCATTTGATTTTGATTTCCAATCACTCTCAGTTTCGAATTTTTACCGTCTTCTTTTTTTATCCGTTCGTTTTGATACCACCCAACTTTCCCATTTTGCCCCTAAAAAAATAAAAATACGCTGGAGTTCTAAAAACTTACCAAGTTTGACTTTGCAACAGAAATTTGACATCAAATGTTTTTAAAATGTAACTAGACAATATTTTCTATGCGTATTGGACAATTACTAATAAGTAATAACACTTGGTGTCAAATTTTATGTGTCAAATTTGGGGAGTTTCTAGCATTACTCAAAAAAAATCTCTTCGATTACAAAAATGCGAGAATTTCATCAAGTTTGACATTAAATGTTTTTCAAATATCGTAGTCAATAACAATTTATTTTTATATATCATAGACAATAACTGTCTGAATATATGTGTGTAGAATTTGATGTCAAATCTAATGCGTTTCTTGCATGACATCTCATATAACGATTTTGTTGACAAATTAAGTACAGAGTATTTTATTATGACTTCAAAAAAATTCTTTTATTAAGTAAATTAAATGAAGTAATTGGACGATGACGATGAGGATGGCCTCCCCTCTCTCTGGCCAGAACCCCTACCTCCTCCTCCGTCTTTCTTTGCCTATTTGCAATCTTGACGATGTCGCCAGCTGCAACCACAAGCGGCAATCTAATTAAATAGCGGTGGTGCCAGGGATGGGAAGCTGTGGTGACCTATGGTGAGGGGGTTATCGAATAGTGATAGTGGCAGCATCCTCTAGCGACCTCCAACAGTGGCGGGAATGAGCCTGTGCCCTCCGACTCTAACGATTGACTTCGAGTAGCAGAGATGCCCCGTCCGGCGAACCGTGCTGACATGGTGACGTCCGGGCAACAGCGTAGAATTGGGACATGAGGCGTAATTGTGCCGGTGATGGCAACCAGGCGACCTTCTCTTGAGTTGAATCGAATAATCGAGGTGAGTACGTGAACATCTAACGCTAGAATATGCATTTAGGTTTGAAATTCCCATTCATTGTTGTTTATCGTGATTGATTTGTGTGAAATACTTGTTGGAATTGCTTGTTTGTAGTTTGGGACTTATTGATTGAACTAAATGGGTAGAACGCATGACTTAGGTGCCTGTTAACTATTGAATGTGTTTGATTGGTGTATAAATTTGTTACGAAAATACGGATTTGTCTAAACAGATGGAAATGAGAAAACAAAATTGGTTTCGAGGGCTGTTTTACAATTGACGATAGCTCACTACCATCCGGCGGTAGTATGCTACCGTCCGACGGTAGGACAAAATCGCTACTGTTTGAGCATTACTGTTCACTTTTAGTTTCCGGTTTTAATGATATCAATGATCTATTTCAAGACTTGTATGTTGCATGACGCTAAGTATGGGTGTTTACACCCACCTCTAGGCCACAATGTGTTGTGTTTGATTGTTATGTATTGATCCCACACTTATGTGAATTAATATTGCTTTGGTTGATCTAACCTTAAATTAAATGGTAAGAGCGGGCTGATCCGGCATGCGAAACATAGGTTACATGGGTGTTGATCCTACTCCATGAACTAAGGTATGTTTACTTAGAGGAGCTCTAGGAGTGATGCAAGTAATAGTGTTAACAGTAATGCCATGTCGCGCCTACTGGCCCAATGTTAGAGTCGGGTAAAAAGGTACGTACGTGTATCCTTGAACTGGCTGGTGATCCATCAGGTGGGGATTCCACCCACCCAATGGAGAACTCTTTTGTTAGTTGAGCATATGATTCGCTGATCTAGTGGGAACAATCATGACTCCTAAAAGGTAAGAAGAGACCTTAGTTTAAGTTAGAGTATAAGTACAGATTAATGGTGATCCACCATTACGATGAATGCGCTGGTATGATGAGAACGAGGATGGACAAGGGCGAGGTAAATTGTGTGATAAACTGTTTACGTGAATTGCATGATATTCAACTTATGTGCATGATAGCATGTGATAATTGTGGACTAGTGCGTTCACTTATGTGTATGTTCAAAGTGTTAGATATTTCTCACTCAACTCATCGTTGAGCATGCATTTGTTTTTTTTTGGCTGCACGCAGGTAAGACTAAGGTTAGTTGATTTAGGACTACAGCGAGACAGAGGAGATGTACGAAGGCAAGGCCTAAAGGAATAATTCCTACGATGGTATTCTCTTAATAAAGTCAGAATGATTTTTATTAAATTATAGTGTAGCTTCCGCATTGTTTTGAATTAACTACAATCAATGTTTGAATTATTTTGTACTCTCTCCGTCCACAAAAAAACTTCCCACTTTCCTTTTTCGTCCGTCCACAAATAAACTTCCCATTTCCTTTTTTGGAAAGTTTTTAATACTAAAAAGACTTAATTACCCTTCATTCACTCTCTCCCCTTATCTTTTTTTCTCCATTCTCTCTCTCCCTTATCTTTTTTTTTCTTCACCCAACCACACCTTTTTCTTCTTCTCCGTTCTTATCCTCTTTTCTTCACTTCTCTTTCTTTTCTCTTTTCTTCTTCATCTTCTTTCTCTTCTACTTCACCGTTCTTCTTCATCTTCTTTCTTTTTTCTTCTTCTTCTTCTTCCTTTTCTCTTTTCTTCTTCTTCTTCTTCTTCTTCTTCTTCTTC